GCCCCCTGTCCCACCCTGAGTGGCTCTCAGAGTTCTTCATGCCCACACTGGCCCAAGGGTCCTACCCAGATCCTCTGGGCCTCCTGGTCTGCCACTGTCTGCCTTACTTTCCCTGGACTTCTGACCCCTACCCGGCCTTGGGTCTCCCAGCTGGCTTGAAGCCCTTAGTGACCCCTTAACCCTAGCCCTGCCCTTCCCCCAGCTCAGCTCCAAGCCAAAAGTCCTTCACTCCATGACCATGCCCGCCTCTGCCCCACGGCCTTGCCTGCCTCTCCTCTGACGCGGTCTCTCCTGCCCTGTGGTCCTTGCCCTCCACAGCACAACCTGCCCAGACCCCTTGGAGCTTCCTTCCAGCCGGGGTCGCCTCGTGCCTGCCTGGGGGACAGAGAGCCCAAGTGCTGACGCCACCTCCAGGAACCCCTGGGCCCTCAATGGATGGCCAAGCACAGGAGCCTGGGGCGAGGGAAGGATAGCACAGCACAGCCCGAGAACCACGCCCACTCATGGCTGACCAGTGGCCAGCTCTCCTATGTTCACCACAGTGGAGGGCCTGATCCAGGGTGGTCCTGGAAACCCGGAGCAGTGAGGCTCCCCTGACCCTCTCCTCGTGACCTCTCTGCCCTGGAGACTCCAGCTGGGAGTGGGCTGTTGATGCCCAGTCTTCCTGAAGCCTGGGGGTCTCCTGGCCTCCCTGAGTGTTAACAGCTCAGCCCCATGAATGCCTATGGCTCCGGGGGCTTCCGGCTGCCTGCCATCCCCAGAGGCAGCAACTCTGAGGCCAAGGGGTGGGGCAGCGGGCCGAGGGCTGAGGGCCGAGGCGACTGCAGCATGTGCCACAGGGTGGCCACGCATGGTTTCTGTCCGGGCCCACAGAACGCCCAGTGCCAGGGCACCTTGTGACCCCGGACTGCCTCACTGACTGATGCTGGCACAGAGGGAAGAGACACAAGGAGTGCTCTTCTGTTCGGTTTTTTCCACAGACCCCCAGACTGTGCTAAAATAAACCCCTCTCTGAAAAAAAAAGATGCAAAAAATAATATCAGAGATACAAAAGTATCTCGTAAAACTGATACCACAGAAAACAAAGGATTACTAGGAACTACCATAAATAACTATAGAACATGGAAAACCTAAGATAAATAATACATTTATTTATATATATTATATATAATATATATATTATATATACATATATAATGTTGATATATATACATATGTATATAACATATATTATACATATATCAAAATTGTACCATGAACAATGGAATACTGGAGTGCACCAATGACTAGTAATAAATTGAATCAGTAATGAAATTTCTCAATGAATAAAAACCTAGGACTAGATGGTTTTGCTGCTGAATTCCACTAAAATTTAGTGAATCATCTTCTCAAACTTTTCCAAAAGCAAGAATCCCCTAAATCCATCTGAAGAGGGAATGTTACCCTAATACCAAAACCAGATAGGGAAACAACCACCACAAAGAAACTATAAACCAACGTGCAGAAATCTAAACAAATATTAGCAAATGAGTACAACAGCATTAAATTCTCATCCACCATGATCATGGAAAATTTTTCCAAGTAATGCAAAGATTATCAACATATTAATTCAGTAAGTGTAATGCATCACAATAAAATGAAAAAATGAAAATCTTTTATAATCATTTCAATGGATGCAGAAAAAGCATCTGATAGTATTCTACCCATTCATTATCCAATCTCAAAGAAATTAAGCATGAGAGATCATAGATCATATAATAAATGCTAAACAAGTCTTGACATACCACAGTAGATATCATGCTAAATTGGAATACATTGAAGGTATCTTTTTTTTTTTTTTTTTTTTTTTTTTTGACAGGCAGAGTGGACAGTGAGAGAGAGACAGAGAGAAAGGTCTTCCTTTGCCGTTGGATCACCCTCCAATGGCCGCCGCTGCAGCCGGCGCACCGCGCTGATCCGATGGCAGGAGCCAGGATCCAGGTGCTTTTCCTGGTCTCCCATGGGGTGCAGGCCCAAGCCTGGGCCATCCTCCACTGCACTCCCTGGCCATAGCAGAGAGCTGGCCTGGAAGGCAACCGGGACAGAATCCGGCGCCCCAACCGGACTAGAACCCGTGTGCCGGCGCCGCAAGGCGAGGATTAGCCTATTGAGCCACGGCGCCGGCTGAAGGTATCTTTTTTAACTATCTAAGCACAAAAGAAGAATATATACTCTCATTCTCTGCTCACAAGGACTCACTCCCCAATTACGCAACACAGGCAGCATCATGCTGTGTCACCAGGGGCAAGTCACTCAGCCTCTCTGAGCCCCAACTTCTGCATGTGAAAATGAGAATAACGTGTATGGAGCAAAAGCCCCACTGTGAAAAAGTGATTGCCTGTGGCATTCACCAAAGTAGAACCCAGAGAGGTTGACCCGCCTTTCATTTCCAAAATGAATTCCAAGATTATCAGGTCACAGGGAGGTGGGGGGGTTCACAAAGACAAATAACAAATCATAGGAAACAGTGAGCAAAAATTAGTCAGTGAAAAATTGACCTATAAATGCTTTTCAGGGCCCCCAACCCCTGGGTCCCGCCTCAGGATACAATAAGCTCTGTCCCTTGCAGCCAACTGCAGCATGGACCAGCAGATGGCAGACCTCTCTCTCTCCCTCTCTCTCTCTCTCTCTCCTCTCTCTCTCTCTCTCTCTCTGTGTGTGTAAATCCTAATTTCAAATAAATAAAAAATATCTTTTAAAAAAGGCATTTTTTTATTCAAAAAGGAAAACATACCAATAAATAAAATAATACATCAAGGGCATTTACAAGAGTTTATTTAGAATTTGATTTTATATGCATTACCTTACCTATTAACACATTTTTGAAAAAAAGTTTAACTTGGTCTTAGAAAAGATTTTGGTGCCCATTCATTCTCTTTTTCCTTACAAACATTCTGTGTGGTATTATCTCTGACTTGTGCATGAGGTAATCTTAGTAATATATTTTTTTCAGACACTTATGTACCCACTCACACAAGGACTTGAAACACCTGTGATCTACGGAGTTCTCCACAGAACACAGGTCTACTTCCCAGTCACCACCTTGCACAGTCTAGCCCTGCATTTAAAGCATGGATCATGTTGGAAACAGGCCAAATCAAGTCTTCCACAAAGAAAGATCGAATACAGAGAGGTAGCATCTGAGGTCACTGTTGCCATTTTCTATGTGCATGTTATCATGCTGGTATATTTTCTCTCATTTCTCAATATTAAATAAAATTGAGAGTAAGTCCAACTATCCCCAATTGCAGATCACATGACTCTATATATAGGTATCCAAAAGACTACTCTAAGAGACTATTGAAACTCAGAGTAGAGTTTGGTAAAGTGCCAGGATAGAAACTCAACATCCTATTTGTATACATAGACAATGTCATGGCTGAGAAAGCACTTCTAAGACCAGTACCGTCACATAGCTACAAAGAAAATAAAGGACTTTGGGATAACTTTAACGAAGGATGTTCAATACCTGAGAATCACAAAAGACTAAACAAAGAAATAGATGAGGACACCAAAACATACAAACAAACAAACAGAGAAGCTTCTGCTCTGCAAAAGAAACACTCAGCAAAGTAAAGAAACTATCGGAATGGGAGAAATTATATGCAAAGTATGCAACTGATAAAAGATAAACTACCAGAAACTTTCAAGAAACTCAATAACAGCAAAACAAACCACCCACTCAAGAAATGGGCAAGGAGCTTCAACAGGCATATTTCTAGAAAGGAAATCTAAATGGCCAACAAACACATGCAAACATGCTCAGGATCACTAGCGTCAGGGAAATGCAAATCGATACGACAACGGCCTTGAGGATGTGGGGAAAAAGGCACCCTAATCCACTGCTGGTGGGAATATAAACTGAAATCACCACTGTGGAAGATACAATGGAGATACATGAGAAATCTGAATATAGACGTACCATAGGAGCAAGCCATTCCAGCCCAGGGTATATACCCAAGGGAAATGAAATCGGCATACAAAAAAAGAGTTCTCTCTGCCCCCATATTTACTACAGCTCAATTCACAAGAGCAAAGATAAGCCATCAGCCAAAATGCCGATCACCTCAAGACTGAATAAAGACATTATGGGCTATGGACACCATACATGCGTCTGCAGACTGTATAGCCTGGCTTTTGTGCATCCTACTGCAATAAGCATAGGCCTGTGAAAACCTCTCTGTCTACACAATGATTTCATTTCCTTCAATATGTTCCCAGTAGTGGGTACACCCATACAGTTTTCAATGTTGACAGGACTCATTGCACACGAGAAACTGTATTGCTCTACAGGTATATAACAGAATACAGACATCGGATCCATAAACCCAATTTTACCTTCAAACTGTCCTCCTAAACCAGGACACAGACACGCACTTTTGCTCTCCTTCCTCCTGACAACACTCTCAGTGGTCTAGAGCAGGGTAGCTGGGTCCTCAAAGAGCAAACACGGGAATGCAGGGCCATTCCGGGAGGACACCGAGCCAACTCTGCTCTTGTACAGCTGCTCGCACCCTGGGGACCCTTCCAGTCCATCCGCACAGCACAACCGCGACTCCACCGCACCTTCGGGACCCAAGAACAACAGGCACGCCTGCAGCCAAGATCCCCAGAAGGAAACCGCAAAGCCGCGCGTCACTCACCTCCAAGGGCACCTGGTCTGCTTGGCGGCACTGAGGTCCGTGAAGGCCGTTGCTTCCGGAAGGGGACGAAGAAGAGAACCGCGCCTGGGAAATGGCGCGATAGCCTCGAACCCGCACCCTCGCCTGACCCTGGGGCCGCTGGTTCTCCCTCAGGCTCAGGCTTGGCCAGCAGCGTCGAGGACAGCTCCTCCCTCCTGGCTTTCACAGGTTCTCGGGCAGGAGAGGATGCGGCGCTGACTCTCACCTGAGCACCGCGGAGTTGGGGTCAGGCGTGCGGGTGCACTTCCGGGTCACAGCGCCAGGCGCCGCACTCGCCAATGGCCGTCGCCATGGTGCCCAGGGACGCATCTGCACACTGCTGCATCCAGCGTCCGGAGCCCCAGGGTCGCTTCCAGTCTTCCTCATCTACATAGTGAGTATTTGGCTTACTGGGCATTTTTGGTTCTTGGAGCAGGTCATGTAGTTGGTGCTGTTCCTGCCTGAGCAGAAGCTCTGGGCTGCTCCTTTCCCCAGCTCCCCTGCTATTAAGAAGTCAGGGGATTCTTCCTCCTCTCCTTTTGATTACCTGGCTGAGATTTCAATGAGAGCATTTCGTTAGGCTCCTAGTGTCCCTTAGCTAGCTGATCTCTCCCTGTGTTGTGAACTCCTGGGGACAGGGATCCTGCTGTCTTTCTTTCCCTGTAAGTCGGGCAGTCTGTGTGGAGCTGAACGACTTCACATTGTCTTTTCTGAAGGTTTAATAACCCAGGCAGAGTGGACAGCCAGGAGTTAGAGGACTGATGTTTCTCTTCAAGAGATGGAATCTCGCTGAGTGGTGTCAGGGAGGGTCTTCCTCACAGGATGATGGCTGCTTAGGCAGTGTCTGCGTGCTGGGGGGAGTGCAGTGAAATCTGGGCACGTGGGGGAGGAGTGGCAGACCCCCGACGTGGGGTGAGTCTCTGAGCCTTGGCTTCCTAATCTGTGGAGAAGGGATGGCAGTGACTGTGTGTCCCGAGTTTGCACTGTCCAGGATACCTGTCGCTGCTGCCACGGTCATCTCAGGTCTAGGAATGCCCGGCATTCAAACCAAGGCACCTTGCAGCTTCTGTCCACCTCTGACTTTTTATGGTGCTGGATTCTGTACCCGGATGGAGGATTGTAGCAGACCCCAAGTTTTCTTTGTAAAAGCTTTTTGGCTTTTTGAAAATTCAAGTTGAAGCATTTAAAAAAATGTTTGTTTATTTATGTAAGAGGATGAGTGACAGAAAAAAGAGAGAGCAATCTTCCATCCAGTGGTTCACAAATACAAATTATGTATTTTCCTTTTAGAAATCTTGAAAAATAAAAATGGATAGGAAAAAATAATTCCTCATCCTGCATCTTAACTGTGCATAGACAGGCACACTTAACATTTTATGTGTCTATTTAGTATTGTTTATTCGTTTTAAAAATTGGATTGAATTTAAAAATTTATTCTATAAATCTGTATTCTGATTTTCGAAGTAGCATAAGCCTTTTCCATATTATGAAGATTTTTTTATAAATGCCACTTTTATTATTTTTTAAAGCTTATTTATTTGAGAGGCATATTTAGAGTGGAAGAGACAGAGAGAGAGGTCTTTCATCCACTGGTTCATTCCCCAAATGGCTGCAACAGCTGGAGCTAGGTTAATCCAAATCCAGGAGCCAGGAGCTTCCTCCAGATTTCCCACATGGATGCAGGGGCCCAAGCACTAGGGCTATCCTCCATTGCTATCCTAGGCTATTAGCAGGTAACTGGATTGGAAGTGGAATAGCCAGGACTTGAACTGGTGCCCGTATGGGATTACAGCACTGTAAGTGGAGACTTAACCTGCCCCTCAATGTCACTTTTAATCACTGCATCTGTTTGGAATGTTTGTGTGCCATAGGTTTTATAACAACTAGTTCATAGTCAATAGATTCTAATTATTTATCACTATTCTAAAATTATTTTTATTAAAGATTTATTTATTGGGGCCTGCACTGTGACACAGTGGCACATCTGCAATGCCACCATCCCATATGGGCATCCATTGGAGTCCCAGCTGCTCCACTTCCAATCTAGTTCCCTGCTAATGTGCCTGGGAAGATGGCCCGAGGTGCTTGGGCCCATGGATCCACATGGAAGACCTCTAAGAAGCTCCTGTCTTCTGGCTTCATACCAGCCCAGCCCTGGCTTTTGTGGCCATATGGGGAGTGAACAAGCAGGTGGAAGCTATCTATTTCTCCCTCTCTCTCTCTCTCTCTAATTCTGATTTTCAAGTAAGTAAATGAACAAACCTTAAAAAAAGATTTCTTTATTTATTTGAAAGGCAGAGTTAGAGAGAGAGGAAGAAAGAGAGAAAGAGCTCTTCCATCTGCTTATTCACTCTCTGAATGGCTGCAATGTCCAGAGCCAGGCCAGGCAGAAATCAAGAGCCTGAAGCATCTGGGTCTCCCTTGTGTGTGGCAGGGATCCAAGTACTTGGGCCATCTTTCACTGTTTTTCTGGTGCATTAGCAGAGAGCTGGATCAGAAGTGGAGCAGCCAGGACTACAACCATGCTCCTGTGGGATGTTGGCATTGCAGGCAGTGGTTTAATTCACTGTGCCACACTGCCAGCCCCAAGTCTTTGTTACTAAGGTAATTTCTTCATCTGGATATTATAAGATCCAGAGAAATACTCAAAATTTTTCTAGGTAGTGCTTCACACAGATGATTACATAATAAGCTGACAACTTCACATAATTGCCTTGCCTTTGGTGGACCATGTTTATGCACTTGAAAGGAACAAGGAAAATATTTAGTCTCTTGATCTACTTGAATGATTGCTTATCAGGGCCTCCAGCCTGTCGTATGTAAATGAAGTGACAAGCAGACAGGAGCTGCTGTTGCTGGGAGGGAGGAAGGCAGGGTTCATCTGTTTGTCAGTGTTCCATGAGGGTGCAAGTGTGTCGTGGCCTGTCTTCATGGTAGTGACACGCATCTTCCTCACTTTGTGTAGTGGAACCATCATGTCACAAGGACGTATGTGCAGAGTCCAGGAAAGCCTAGTTGATTTTTCTTGCCCATGTAAGGTGCTGAACTCGCTGGCCATGGTGATTGGCTGTTTTGGGATATCTGTGTTTTCTTCCACACTTTACAAATTGGGGCACCATGGGTGGGCAGTGTGACAAAATGAACAACGGAGCTCATGGCTCTGAGTCTGAAGAACCTCAAGAACCCTGTGAAAGCCATGTCACTTTTCCAGGTCTGTGAAATGGGCGCTGTGATTCCCCAGGGATGCACTCTGCGCTAGGACTGGAACGGGCTTGATGGGCTGGGTTAGAACCTCAACTCTGCTCATGAGCAGTGTGACCTTGGGAAAGGGACGGGGTGTCTCAGGGCCTAGTTGGATGGTCCCTTGTGTGGGGCTGGGCATGATTTTGTAGTAATTGGGTGAGTGCCAATTCTGTGTGAGGCAGTGCTGGGGAAGCCCCTGGTAGTATCATCCTATGGGGTCCTGTCTAGGTACCCATTAAGCAGCGCTCAGGACCAAGGAGCCTTGCTGTTGCTCATCCTGCTCCCCCAACTCTTCTTGTTGCATGGAGTCCTTCCCCTGCTGTTTGCTTGGAGATCACAAATGACCAGTACACCTTGTCACATTCATGCCCATTTCTCTTCTTGCCAGAGAACAACCCCCGACTGTTGCCTTTTTTAAATGACTTATTTATTAAAAGGCAGAGTTAGAGAGAGAGAGAGAGAGAGAGAGAGAGTGGGAGAGAGAGAGAGGTCTTCCATTACCTTGATCATTCCCCCAAATGGCTGCATGGGCAGGGCCGAGCTTAAGCCAGGAGCCAGGAATTTCTTCTGGGTCTCCCACATGGGTGCAGGGGCCCATGCACTCAGGCTGTCTTCCACTGCTTTTCCAGGTACATTAGCAGGGAGCTGATTAGAAGTGGAGAAGCCGGGACTTGAACTGGTGCCCATGTGGGATGCTGGCACTGTGTGCAGTGGCTTTGCCCGCTTTGCCACAATGCTGCCGCCCCCCATTACCTTCTTGAGTCCTGATCCCATAGGGTTCTTCTCACCCTCATTTCCCCACTGCCCTTGACCTCTGTGTTTCCCAGGTGTTGTCCTTGGGCCCTGCATTTTCCTTCTGTCACCTTCTTTAGGAATGCTCTCTCTGCTGGTCTTCCTGGTGCTTGGAAGTCCTCCCTGTGCCCAGCGCACTTTCCTGGTGGCTGTGCCACAGCTTTTGGGTGCTCTTCATCTCCAGGTGGTCCCCCAGGGCCCTGTCTGCAGATGGGGTCACCTTGACCTTCATCTTCTGTACTCCTGCCTTGCTCAGGACTTCTCCTACCAGTCCAGAGCTGTTTCCTTTAGTGTCAGCCCTGTCTCCATCTTTGTCTTCAGCTCCTGTGTCCATTTGAACATTGAATCCTTTTTGCTGTAACTCCCTAGTAATAAGGAAGTTACTTAGATCTGTGCATCTCAGATCTCCAGAGCCTTGTACTGTGCTTGGCACCCACTGTCTCACAACCATTTTAAGATTTATTTATTTATTATGAAGGTCTGAGTTATATAGAGAGAGGGAGAGACAAAGACAGAGAGAGATATTCCATCTGCTGGTTCATTCCCCATATGCCCACAATAGCCAGTGCTGGGCCAGGCCAAGCCAGGAGCCAGGAGCTTCAACAGGTCTCCCATGGTTTTAGCAGGGGCCTGAGCACTTGAACCATCTCTCCACTGCTTTTCCCAGACCCATTAGTAAGGAACTTGATCCAAAGTGGAACATCTAGGATTGAATCAGTGCCAATATGGGATGTTGGTGTCACAGGTGGCAGCTTTACTCACTACACCACAGCACCGGCCCCACTGTGTGACAACAGTTGATGGTGTAGATATTTGGCTGGACTCACACCTAGGTATTTCCCATGTCCCGCATTACCTCCTGCTTCTTAGACACTCCCTTGATTTCTGTCTGAGCATTGATGTGTTGCCCTGTGTGGAGGCTTGGGTTACTCTCACTGTGTAGTGCTCTGGGGGTTTGCCCAGGGTCCCCATGATGGTCCTACGATGGGTCCCTGTGAGAGCTGGGCGTTTGTCTCTTCAGCTGTGTGAGACTGCTAAAAACGCCAAGCTGCTTTTGCTGAGTGAATTTGTGTTCTTTCAGTTCTTGCCTGGGCTTTGGTGTCAGTGGTTTGCATGGAGGGGAGTACTCCCTCCTTCTCTGTCTTCTGGAGCACTCGTGTAAGCAGTGAGCTTGGTAACACTCCCTCCTGGAATGTGTGATAGGACTTCGGAGTGAAGCCATCTGGGGCAGGACGCTCTTTTTGGGGAGTTTTGATTACAGGTTCAGATTCTTTAATAAATGCAGGGCTATTCAGACTGTCAGTTTGTCTTCTGTCATTTTTCCTTGAGGAATTTTTCTGTTTCACCAAAGTTGTCAAA